TTCATAATAGAAAGCCCCAAATAAAAATTTCCATCTCAGGAAGCTGCAAAACACAGGAAATAAAACCCAAATACAAACCAGACTTAGTGGCATGCTATGCTTAGTATCAGCTATGTGGGAGGCTGAAATGAGAGGATCACTGGAGTAAGGGGGTTCACAATTTTAGTGAGACTCATATACAATATATATATATAATATATATATATATATTTATACATATATAAAAACTATATATAATATATATTTAATAATATGAAACTACTATTTTATATAAAACATTTATTTCATATGTAACTATTATTAATTGAAGAAAGGAGATAAGATAAAAATGGTGACTAATAAAATATAAATGTGGAATTGATTAGTTATTTAGAAAAAAAGTTCAATGAATTTCAGCCTAGCATGAATGACTACAGAAATAAATGAAACAAATTACTTATACTAGGATTTAAAAAATAAAAGATTATTTCAGATATTAATGGTAATAATTTAGTTGAAACTGAGAAATCCTAGAGGGAAGAGAAGCTTCTATTTATTTATAAAAATAAATAGAAAAAGGCTAATTTTCTAGTCTCCAATAAATAAATTGGACTATAAATTTAAAACATCTGCAGAAAGAAGTCTCCAACCCAACAGATTTCAGAATGAATTTTTCCCAATATTAATATAAAAATTAATACCATTCGGAAACAAACTCTTCTAGAGAAAACAAAAAGGAAACATTTTTGTGGTGGGTATAAATTTGACAATGAAATTTTTAAAAAAATTACAATAAAGGAAAATTACAGGCCATTTTTTTATTGCCATAGAAACAAACAACAAAAAAAGCAGACCTAAACAGCTACATATGAAAAATGAAGTGTATTTAAGAAACATAGTTATTTTAACTTTCAAAAGTCAAGCAAGGCAATTTACCATGGTAACAGAAAAAATCAAATGAATAGTTTAATAAATGCAGAAAATGCACTTTATAAAGTTCAACATATTTATGGTATTTTTATAAAACCAAGCAAAAGAAAAATAGAAGTGAATGACTCTAATCTGAAATATTTTAAAATAGTATACTAATATGAAATATTGGATTTGTATTCTCCATTAAATTTAGAGTATCAGCTGTCATTACTTCTAGCCAACAACTATTGGCTGTTTTAACCAGTACAATAAGAAAAGAAGAATATTTAAAGATTAGACATGAGAAAATAAGACTATCAATATTTTAACTGGCTTTACACAGTAAATCTAAAAGTATCTATAGACAAACTATTATAAATATAAGTGAATTTAGCTATGTAAAATGTCAATATACAAAAAATCATATTTCTTTAAATATATTGCTAACAACTAAGTTATAATTTAAAAATAACACTATAATGCATCAAAATACAGCACATTTCAAGTGAATGTAATGTGATAACCAGGAACTCTAAATAATAAAGCTCTAAAAGACTTACTAAAAGAAATTATGAGAATGTATACATTATAATAAAGAATAAATGATCTCATAATTTATATATCATAGATATATTTATATACCATAGCTATGTATAAACTAGAATATATACAAATTATGAGTGTTTGTATATATATATATGCATATATGTTCACAATATGTTGAATTGTAAGCTCAAGATTTTAAAGATATGAATTCTCAATTTGGTCCACAGACTCAATCAATTCACAATTCACAATCAAAATACCAGCAAGGACTTTTTTTAATCTTCTTTCAAAATTATTTTACTGGTGCATTACAGTTGTACATAATGATGAGATTTATTATTACATATTTGTACATGCAGAAAATATAAAAGTATAATTTAGCTAATATCACTTCCCATCACTTACCCCTCCCCCTCACTTCCCCCCATGGCCTAGCATGGATTTTTGTGGAAATCATCAAAATGGTCCTAAAATGTACATGATAATTGCAAAGAGCCAAGAATTGTCTGGAAAATTGTGAGGGCAAAATAAAATTAAATGATTTATACTAACCAGGTATTAAAATTTATTGTGTATGGTAATTATGAGAGTACTCAATTTACATAATGAAAAACAAATAGAAGAGATTAAAATAGAATTTTAAATATAGCCCATATACATAAGGTTACTTAATAAACAGCAAAGGCACTCTAAAATTCATGGGAGAAAATATGGTCTTCTCAAGAGTTAATTATAATATCCATAAAAGGAGAAAAGAATTGTGATCCTAGACCTCACACTACACACAAAATCAATTCCAAGTTGATTATAGATGTGAAATGTTGTACAAGAGAATGTGAAATGTTGTACAAGAGAACATGTTCTAATTAACTTTGAGTAAGTACAGATTTCCTAAATGGAATACAAAAAGTACCTTATGGTTTTATAAAGAAAAAGATTGATAAATTGAAATAATTAAAAGTAATAATGTTTGTTTAAAAGGCACCATTAGAAAATTAAAATACAAAGAAAATATTTGTAGTACATATATCCAGAATAGGATTCATATTCAGAATATGTGTGAAAGAATGAAAATGTAGCCCAATAAATATATGAAGCTACCCATGTTTCTTAGTCATAAGTGAAATGTGAAATAAATATTATTATATTACTATATAATCACCAAAGTAGTTACTGAAAATCATACTAATATTAATATTACATTAACATTACTATATACCCATCAAAGTAATTACTTTTAAAAAATGTAGGGCAATGGTATATAAACACAATGGAACATTACTCCACCATAAAGAAGAATGAAATTATGGCATATGCTGGTAAATAGATGGAACTGGAGACTATCATGATAAGTGAAATAAGCCAATCCCCCCCACAAACAAAGGTAGAATGTTTTCTTTGATATGCAGATGCTAACACACAATAAGGTGCAGAGAGAAAGAGAAGAAGGTCATTGTATTAGACAAAGGAGAATGAAGACAAAAGAATAGGGATGGGAATTAGAAAGACAGTAGAATGAATCAGACATAACTTTCCTATATTCATATATGAATACATGATCAGTGTAATTCCACATCTTGTACAAATACAGGATGGGAATTTATACTCGAGGTATGTATAATATTTCAAGATATATTCTACTGTCATGTATCACTAAGAAGAACAAATAAAATTTTTTAAATGTAGGGCAACTTCTAGAACTAACATAAATTGTTACTATGGGTATAGATTTGTACAACCCTTTTGGGAAACTACAGACAAAAATATTCTAAAACCTAGAAATTGTACTCCAAGTCTTATAACCAAATACATACAACGCACACCAAAAATGTACACAAAATATTTACAACAATGTTCTTCACAGTCTTAATCATAACAGCTTGAAACTGGAAATCAAACCAACATCCATCAAAAGCAGAGTGAATGAAGAGTAAGGTGGATTCATACAATAGATTACTACATAGGAATGAGAAAGGGCAGACTACAATTCACAAAGGATGAATTTTCAACAACATGGGTAAATCTCACAAACATAATGTTTAGTAAAAGAAGGAAAGGATAATATACTGTAAGGATTCCATTTATACATTGTTCAAAGACAGGTGAAATGAAGCCACAGTGGTAAATGCCGAGAGTCACTTCTGCAGTATGGGTGTAAGTGACTAAAAGAGGGGTAAGGAAGGCTTCTGCTGTGCTGCTGATGCTTATCCTCCACCTGGGTGGCTGTGTTCACTTTGCGAAGATCCATCAAACTACACACTTAGTGAGCTTTTCTGAATTTATATTCTGCTTAAATTTAAAAATGTATAATTGTATGAATCAGTAAGTAGACTGAAACGTAGGGTGTTTTATTTTTAATTGAAGTAAAAACCACATAACATACAATATACCTTCTTGACAAATTTTAAGTGTCCCATATAACATGGTGTGTATTTATACATATAACTATGTGTATCTATCTATCTATCTACATACAGAGAGAGAGAGAACTATAAGCACAATGTTGTACAGATTTATTTTTTTGTCATTCCACTTTCTGCTTCAATGCATTTGACCTCATATAAGTGGAATCATGCAGTATTTGTCCTCCAGTGATTGGTTTTATCTCACTGAGCTTCATCTTTGCTGCATATGTTATATCATATAACACTATTTCCTTTCTTAAAGACTGAATAATCTTCTATTATATATGTATATCACATTTTCTTTATCTGTTAGGGGAGATTTAGCTTGTTTCCACTCCTTGGATATTGCCAATAATGCTGCAACAAACATAGGAATTCAGATATCTTTTCAAGATTGTTTTTAATTCTTTTAGATAAATACCCAGAAGTGAGATTGTTGAATCATACAATAAATACATATTTTTATTTTTTATATAGGTTGACTTTTCATTCTCTATTGTTACTTTGCCGGGCAGACACTTTTTAGTTTGAATTAGTTCTACTTGTCTATTTTTCCATTGTTGTCTAAGCTTTTTTGTTGTTATTTTAATTTAAATTACTTCCTGGGTAATTATGATTCTTTCTGGAATGACATCACTTTTCTACAAATATTTTCAGGAATGCATATACATCATTTGAATTGTTGTGCTATGTTTTTGTTGTTGTTTTTTGGGTTTTTTTTTTTTTTTTGGCCTACACATGACTTGGCTTAGATTTGTTACAAAACCAAAATTATCAAATTAGTTCTTGAATTCTACAACCAATGTGCTGCTGCTTCTGAAGACATATCCCTTAGGAGGCATATGTCACACTGCTTGAACAGTGGCATATCAGTCAATCTCAAAAGCGGAAAGCAATAAAATCTGAGAAAATTTAGTATTTCTCCTGAAGGAATAGCAGAGGATTGAAATGTAAATAATTTATTTCTGTGCTTTCCAGAAACATATATATAATTTCAGACTTCACTAAAAAAATCTTATTGGTTAAATCTTGAGAAATCATGAGATACAATTTTTATCAAAGGAAGTTGTTCCATACTTTGTTATTATATTTTTCTCTTTTTGTTGTAGTGGATAAAAATGTTAAAAAGTGTAAAGCATAAAATAACTGGGCACTGACCTCATTATCTTCCCCAACAGTTTTGCTCTCTGTCATCTCAATCCATTCCTTCTTACAAGCTCTTCCCCAGGCAAATGCTCCAATACTTCAGTCACTTTGCCCCTAATGTACCATATGCCTCTGGAAATTTTCCCCAGCCACTTCAGCACATCCAGAACTTGTATGATTCACCTATAGGATCTGAGGTTAGGGCAACCAAAAGATTGAAGATGGTCATAAATTATAAAAAGTGAGGTCACTCTAGAGGTTATGGCACAGTAAGTAGGGAGGGTTTTCCCATTATTGCACTGTTAAAACCTGAAATGGTACCTCTTTTTGATTATATGAAATTAAAGAGAAGTCACATTCTTTATTTGTAGTTACAGTATTCTTTAAGCAATTTAGAAAATAAAATGAGAGTCTTTCATGCCACAGAGAAAGGTATAATATAATATTTATGGATGAAAGTCTCTATCAACAGAACAACTCAAAAATGTAGGAGACACTTTAGGCATAATTAGTCTTTAATTATTGCATACCAGGTTTTAAAAATCTATGTAAAATATTTTACGTTCAAATAGTATTTTCTACCTTAAAATGTGTCTTTGCAAATCGGAGCTAGTAGTTCCTAATTTATCCATTACCAGGGTTATGTCCAAACATCATGCTAAACATTTCTTCTCTATGAGATTGGTAATATCACAAAATGAAGCAGGGAAGGTAAATTCTTACCCAAGATCTTATAATTTGTTAGGGGCAAAGAAGATTTAAAATAATATTTGTTTTATTTACAAATCCATGTTCTTAATTGATCTCATAGATCAATTAAGAACATGGATTTGTAAATAAAAAATATCATTTTGAATAGATAATCAAAATGAGTATTTTGAAAGTTATATCTTGCTAAATTAATTGAAGAGACAAATCCAGGAATGTATAAAGGGTGTCATACACGGACTCGCTTTTGAAACTTTGAAACCAGAAGTTTGTAAGAGTTAGTACTCATTTCAAATTAGGTTGGGGTTTTGAGATGAGTACTTAATGTAGCCAAAAAATAAGAACTCTAAGCAGTAAACAAAATTTATTAAAGATTATTAAATTTTATAAATGAATCTGCCAGCAGGGGAGGGGGCAGGGATAAAATTGGTTTAACATTCTGAATGTACATAGAGCTTAATTAAATTAATTAAACAGGTATATTATCCAAGGCATTGAGTCATTAAACAAATGAAAATTCTGAGAATAGTATAGAGTACAAAAACATTGATAATTAAACAAAATCTTCTATCAAGTATTTGTAATTTACATTAACGTGATCTGCATTCAGGATCAACATGTTCATTCCCCCAGTTGGAAGAATTGTTAGCTGGGAAGGCTCACAGCTGAATCCTTCTCTAGGAAGCTGTCCTACTGGTTACTCCCTCCCCATCTTCAGGACACAAAGAGTACAAAGACCAGCAAGCTTTGCCTCCATGATGGACCACTAAGAGCTGGTCCATCTCCAGAATTCCCTTTAGGATTAGCTGAGACCTCTGTTGCAAGTTGCTCAAGTTTAGCTTTTCCTTTTGCTCAGTCCTTGTTCCCTTACCTCTCACAGGAATAATTCTTAGAGTATTTCCTAACGAATTTTTTCATGCAGGGGCTGGGGTTGTGGCTCAGTGTTAGAGCGCTCTTAGCATGTTTAGGGCACTGGGTTCGAACCTCAGCACCACATAAAAATAAAATAAAGGTATTGTGTCCAACTACAACTGAAATAAAATATTTTTTATTGGTTGTTCAAAAAATTACATAACTCATGACATATCATCTTTCATACATTTGACAAGTGGGTTATGAACTCCCATTTTTACCCCAAATACAATAGAATCACATCGGTTACACATCCACATTTTTTAACAAATTCTTTCATGCATATCAGTGTTTTTGAGTGTGTTTTCTGAGGAACCTGGCCCATGACAATGATTAATCCTAAATTTCTCCAATCCACTGCTTATGGTTCCTGCTGTTATTTCAAAATATGCACTCATTTTCTCCATAGCTAGTGCTGGAGCTGTAAATTTTCATCTATGTGGCACTGACATAACTTTATGGGAATCCTAAAGATTCAATATAGATTCCACACCTAAAGAAGGAATCATATTTTGCCTAAAAGGATTTTTAAAGACTTACATGGTTAATAGCTTAGGTGATTCATTGCTGCAAAACAAAAAAAATTTAAGTTATAAAGAACAAACTAAGTGCTAACAAGTTTTATGTCCCTCCAACTTTTATGCACCTAAATAAGATTTTTCTATTATTTCTTGTGTGGGAACTACAAACTGCTCAATCTAGAAATTTGGAAATTGATCTCGATGACTTCTTATAGCTTGCCTCTGGTATCTAATCAATGACTCAATCTAATAGACAGTGTATTTAGCTATTTTATCTCCTAACCACACATTTTCAAAGGTGTGATATCACCTTCTTAGGAGTGAAAATTGGTTCTGGGTATGCAATGGTTATTTTATATCAACTTGGCTAAGTTGTGGTACCCAGCTGTTTAGTCAAATGCCATTTTATATATTGTTGTAAGGTACTTTCTTAGATGTAGTTATCATTTACAATCTATTAACTTTAAATAATACTTATTACCCTCCATAATGTAGGTGCATCTTATCCAATCAGTTGAAGGCTGAAGGTCTTAAGAGCAAAGACTGAGGTTCCTTGAAGATAGAATTTTGCCTCAAGACTGAAACAGAAATTCTTCCTGAGTTTTCAACTTGCTGGTGTGGGTGTGTGTGTGTGTGTGTGTGTGTGTGTGTGTGTGTGTCTTTCTAATACAGGGGTGACATATATACATAATCCATCCATATACATAAAATATGGATATACCTATTGTACATAAAGAGATGTACAGTTTTATCTGTAGTAGTAAAACTTCATGGGGTGGGATATGTTAGGACAGAAGTTCCTAAAAAGTGTCTCATACTACTCTAGATCAATCACTACTTTCAGGAACATTGCTTCTTAACAATTCTCTTTATGGCGATATTAATAACATCTCTTAATAACATCTCTATACTATCTATGGGATCCATCTAAAATGCAAATTTGACCATTTTCTTCCCTTGTTCAAAATCTCTTGATCATTCCAGGTTTGGGAATGCCTCATCTCTACTTCCTTGGAATTCATAGTCAGGAGCGGTACTTTAGAAGCCACTAGTTTCTTAATCTGTAAAATGAAAGCAATATTTTCCTTTCAAACTTAATTTTAGAATAAAATAAGCGGATACAAATGAATATACATACATACACATACAAGTGTGCACATGAATATGCAAATACGTATATTATACATGTATATGTTTTATATATACATACATTTATGTGTACACAGAGGATACCTAGCATGTAATGTTTGGCATTTTATTGCATGTTGAATAAATAGGTGGTGGGAGTGTTTCTTCACACCGTTATGCTACCTCTACTTAGAGTATTTTCCCAGTTAGGGCTACTTTGGTAACCTATCATAAAATTCAGCAGATTTTTTCCCCTTTCCTAGCTTCCTGGCAAAATGGTCTAACTCTAACTCCTCCTGATATTTTCATTGGATAGCAACCCATCTGTACTCAAGTTCTGAACTGTCCTGGTTTATGAGAAGGAAACTCTTCCGCCCAACCACCTCCTTCTTTTATTCCTAATGTTCCAGAACATCCTATGATTTCTCACCATTTTCTCAACCATTTCTGCACTCTAGGCTCAGTAAAACCACTCTAGGCATATGTCAAGGGTGAAAAATTAACTTTTTTCCACTTACTTTTTTCAAAAACTTATTTAGTTACTACAGGAATATGCTCTCACTCTCCCTCACTTTGTTCCATGTGGGAAGCCTAAAAGCCAACTCATCATAAATAGTAGTGTTTACAGAGTTCTTGCAAATCACTCAGTTGCCACTAGGCACATCTCCCCTCTCCAGTGTTATAAAAGATATTCAACTCTTAGATGAGACCAGTTAAAGGGCACTCACCAGTTTGTTAAACAAATGATTCATGCTGAAAACATACTGAATCTAATCAATCCTTTTTCTTCCAGAACATGCAGAGTAACACTACACCTTCTTCCACATGTCTTCTCTATAACAATCATTCTACAGCTATTTCCTCTTGAGACCTCCTTGGTTGTATGTCTTCAGCTATGGTTTATGCTGCACTTTGCCATTTATTGCTTGTTAAAATTAGGATCCCTACTCCACATACTAGTATTATAAGCTTTATTATATATAACTACCAACCAATTAAAAAAGAAAAATAAGAATGAATAAAAACATAACTATCATTTGTCTTATAACACTGTTGAAAAGATATGTAAATATTTCAATTGATTAATAACAATAAATTCATAATTATATCTGTAATCACCACTTCTAATATGTGTCTTCAAATTTTTATTATCAAGGGAAGGTACTGAGGAATAAAACTGACCAAATTATACTGTTATATTGTATGTATGAATGTGTAGTAATGAATCCTACTATTACAAATAATTAGAATACACAAATAAAAAGAAAAAAATCTATATTCAGCTAGGCATGATGGTGCACACCTGTAAATTCCAGTAACTCTGAAGGCTGAGGCAAGAAGATTGAAAGTTTAAGACCAGACAGAGCAATTTAGTGAGACCCTGGCCCAAAATAATAAAAAAAAATTAAAAAGGACTAGGGATGTAGTTCACAAATATATCTTTAGCCACATCTTTTCCCTGGAACTTCAATCACATACTGTAACCTTCCTATTCAATATTCTTACTTAGCTGATCTTTCTGTCAACTAGGAAAAAAATGTTAAACAATTTTATTATTTATTTATGAGGCAGGGTTTCACTATGTTGCCCAAGTTAGCACTGAAGTCTTGGACTCAAGTGATCCTCCAACCTCAGCCTTTAAGTAGCTGCATGCGTGTGTTCAGTCTTATTGATTCAAATTTAGCATCTCTGAAATGAAACTCAATGACTCCCAAAGTTCATATCTCCTTCCTGACTTATTTTTGTCAACTACTAGAATCTGAACCAAGAAAAATAGAGTCCTATTTCTATGAAGCCTTTACTTTACTCCCTGCCTTTTTAACAGGTATCTCCAAGTCTTGTGAGGTCTCCTTCACAGCCCCTATGATAGCCATTCCTTTTATCCTTTCCACTGCAGTTAACCTGCCCAGAGCCTCATTACTG